TGCATAAGTTTAAAAAAAATATTATTATTAATGTGAATTATATAATTATTTATTAATGTGAATTATATAATTTCATCTGCCAAATATCTACTGTTGACTGTATCTTATATTATTTTAAGTTCTGGCACATGTCTCAGCTGCTTTTTGGCAATAATAATGTAGACGTTACATTTTTCTTGTATAATATATTCTAATATTATCTAGACTGATAATTTCAGTTAAATTTAAATGTTTTCAATATCAAACAATAATAAGTGTTTTTTTGTAATTTCTGCCATTTATTTCTAGAATACTACTATAGTTTTGCGTCCACTGAATCTTAAAAAATTCCTTTGACAAACACTAAAAAGATTTATCAAAATTCCAATAATTGTTTAGAAGGAGTAATGATGTATATAAAGATACTCATTCTAAACGATTGTTCGGATTTTGATAAATATTTTTGAAGCCTAAGAGAATTTTTCGTGATGTAAATGATTATAAAAATATAATAATATTGTATATTAAGTGTAAAAAATGGCAAAAAACGACATGTCATTGTTTGGCATTGTAAACATTTGAACTGTCAAGTGCTAGAAATGTCAATTCACTAACTTAATGTGAGTATTATCTACATTTACTATTACCTAGCTTTATTAAAATTCATTACTTTACTACTAGGAAGTAAACTCCTGGATAAAAATTTATGATAGATAATATCGATATGAAACGACGCGCATTAAATGTGAAGTATTTATGTCTTTTGATATTAAATAATCATATGCTCATATCTACATATACTAGTATATATGAAGAAATTGTGGTTTTTATATATTTATCTAAATCTTTAGAAATTTTAAAAATTGTTGCACCCTTTGGACTTTTTGCATTTAACAGGTTTGATCATACAAATTAGAAATTTCTCTTAATTCCCTTTTTAGTCACCTGTGATTTTGCACAGAATCTGATTAAATACTTTGAACAAAATAAAGACTAAATGAAATATACAAAATTGCAAAAGATTAGATACACATTAATTAAATAAATAAATCCTAAGCCTCACCAACCATTTTGATATTAATTTGAAACTAAAACTGAAAGCGCATTTTAATTTTGATATATAGGAATAAAATATTGAAAAGCCAGTCATTAAGTAAAAAAGAAAAGATTTTACAACATTTTTATTTTTTAGTGAGAAGGGAGAATAATTTGAAGTAGTATATATAAGCAATTTGATGAGCAACTAAAAAATACTATAAATTAATAATAACAAATACCATTAATGAAAACATTAACAATATTATGTCACACTAAAATTGTCTGTAATTGCTGATTTATTCGTGGCCTATTATAAATATTAACGTTTTTTGAGATCACTGATAGTTTGTAAATTCTGAAAAAAAGTTAGAAAAATAATAAATAAAATAAATAGATGAATTTTGTGAATGTGTTGAAATTATAGATGACAGTTTAATTTATTATTAAAACATAATTAAAGTCTACGTTCAATGAAATTTATCTTAATTCGATTTTTGTCATTTTTTCTCATCTCTAGCCGCAAAAGAGAAATATTTTGTTTCATTACTTTGGTTTTATTTATCGTTATGCGAAAATATGCTTTCTTGTGATATCGTTTTACATAGAAATGTTGGAAAACGCATGTTGCTCACAATTTATAGTTGTGTTTGAGTTTATTAAATATATTTGCATAATAAAATTTTCTGCAGCTTCATTTACTTACTAAAAATCAGAAATAATAGATATTAGTAATAAATTGAAATAATACATAAATATATTAGAAAATAGATAGTACTAGATATGCTTGGGTTACTATAAAATTATTCTTCTAACATCTAAAACCTTGATATTATATAAATTAAAAAATACATTTCTGAGTGATACTGAATCATAATTAGGACAAACAAAAATAAACTTTCTTTTAGAATTTGATTTCATATATGTATGTATATTAATGTAATGTAATGTGAATAATGTAAATCGTGAGATAAATACTGGAAATTCTGACTATTAAGAATGCAGAATGTCAAATGGGACAAGTTAGAACATTTACAACTTAGTGATAAATCTAATAGTGAAAAACTTTACAGTTTTTAAAAAATTCCATATGTGTACCCAAATTCCGTACCAGCCTTGCTAAAGAAATTAAAAAATGAATAAAACAGATGTATTTCTTTTTTAATTTCAAATATAGTAGTCAATATTATAATGTTTGAAAAAAGATATCAATCATGAAATAATAGATAAAAATTACCACTTTTGACCCAATTTTCGTCTTAGTTGCAATATTTAATATGAACTTTTCAAATGTCGCAATACAAAGGGTTATTTCTTGGAACAAATTGCAATTTCAATCAATGGTTTGATTAGGAGGTACTTCATTTAGTATAAATTATATCAAAGTTATCTTTGATTTGAAACCTATCTTGAAATATGTACAAAATCCAAAGTTAAGTTTGATGAAATTGATAATAATCGTGATAATATAACCTATATAATTACATATATATATCATTAGATTATAGCAATAGATACATATCTATATCAATAGACACTATTGTAGTATTTGTTTTGTCTATAAAAATATTTTCAATTGTAATTGCATCAAAGATATATAGCAACTATGAATAATAAAATAGAATCTTACATTTTTTAAGCGGCACGGAATTTTGAGATGTTTGGAATTTAAATAATATTTCCATGACTATAGTCATGAAAATATTACTTAAATGGTTTGAATTTAGAGAAATCAATATAAATTGGGTTACTTGGAATTGTTAGAACATATTTGACCTCCATCTATTGTGAGCCTATTGATCAGCTTTGTGATTTCCAAAGCTAAGAGAGGCAACTTGCCTACTAATTGTATTTTCAATTACCAATGCTTGTCTATTAATCCGCTTTTCGATTTGCAAATCTAGCTTATTAAACAATAACTAGACTAATACTTAGAAATTAGCTGCCTCAATTACAAATATTTGATAAAGTAAATTGACAACAATAAATGTGTATACATTTAAAAAAAAATAGTCCGATAAGAAGAATCCTCAAAAAAACTCCCTCCAACTGGCAGTCAAATTTGTATTGCTAATTCATAATATGTAGAACTTTTGTCTATTTGATTAAATAACTTAAATAGTTTTGGTTGTAGTTTTGAAGTAAAACTTCTTTAGACGAGACCAAGGGTAATTCAGCGAATGAGCTGTCACTGACACGGAAAAGAATTACGGCATAAATATTGATTTGGCCAACGATTTCGTCATTCGTAAGTTAATGCGATTGGAAACATAATTTTATTTTAATTGCTTATATATATATATATATATATATATATATATATTAATTTGGAAATATGAACAACCAACACTCTTTTTTGCACTAATTTATGAGATAATAATTTTCACAAACGTTTCGGGACTAGGTTCGTCTCATCATCAGTGTGTTATAATTTAAAATTTAAAATATGGAAACCTAAATTAGCATAATGTGTTATCCGTTACAAGTCGTTCGATATACTGTCTTCTGCCCCACTAACGATCGTCGATGTCCGAATTCTCTATTCAATTTCAAGTAGTTTTCAAGTGGCTAGTCACGCAATATCTTATTGATATCGTAAGAGCCGAATTGTATTCGTCCTTGCTTTCTCGTCGTATTCAGAGTATCAGATTGTTGTTTTAAAGTTAAATTTTTAACGTATTTTAGAAGTATTGTCCAAAAATCAGTAAAAATGCAAAGAACTTACACATTTCTTGAACTATATTGGAAAAAAACTAATTATATTTGATATGCATTATTTCTGCATAGTTAATAAATATTAAATTTAGAATTCGGACACCACTAGGTAAAAAAAGCCTTAAGATTTTCGTTCAAAAGTAACTTTTGCTTCCTTTTCTCATATTTGTTCTATTTCTATTACCCTAACCACGAATGTCTTCAACAAAAGTTACATCTCGGAATAAATAATCGATTTTCTAGACACTTAATCCCTATTTTTATTTTTTCTGTATTATAATTTGTATTTATTTTCATTAACAAGTTCCGTTTTAACTAAATCATCTAGCAAATTTTTGTCAATTTAATCTTCCGTAGGTTTGCGCTTACGGGATTGAACACATATAATTCCTTTTTCGATTTCACAGTAACTTCAAACATATAAAAAATTGAATAAGTAGATTGAGCAATAAACAGAGCTGTTATTTACTAATTTGCAGAGTTAATAATCGGTTAATTGTTTCTACTTATATCACGTTGCAAAATAAATATGCTTTTTGTGTCTCCGTATCTCTAGTTAAGTTTGATTGTTTATTATAATTTATTAAGTATTCTAGATTTTATATAATAAAAAATATAAATAATTTATTAAAAATTTAAATTCCAAAACACGTTTTGGCGCCCCCTAAGGCGTGCGCCCGCATTTTTTGCATGCATCGCAAGGCAGGACCGGCCCTGTATATATATATATATATATATATATATATATATATATATATATATATATGATGAAAATTGTTTCTTGGGCATCCATCCAATAATTAAAAAAACAGTTTTAATGCATTTCGTTGCATTTTTGTGTTGTTCTTTGTGTTATATTTTAGTTATTGTTATATTTTAGTTATGTGTTAGTTATTGTGTTATATCTGGACCCGAAACGTATGTTCTCTTAATTAAAACATTTTGCATTAAAACTGTTTTTTTAATTACTGGATGGATGCCCAAGAAACAATTTTTATCATATTATTTCACCATCTGAAGAAAAACCTCTCGCTTTATATATATATATATATATATATATATATATATATTCTTTTATTCTACTTTGCTATAATTATAAATTTCCGAATCATCTTTATAACAATATTGACATTTCCCTATAAAGACATCTCGAACTCGCGTTCGTCAAAGACCGCGGTGATTGAAATTCCCAAAATAGCTCCTTTAATCAGTCTCGAAAATAACAATGGTAATAATAATGATGACGACAATGATGATGATGATCATCTTACCTGAGCAGGCCTGCGGCGGCAGCGGGAATATGAGAGTGGCCGAACTCTTCCTCCTGGCCACGGCGCAGCCCAGAGAGTGCGGCTTGAAGCTTCGCAACTGCTGCATGAAATCGGAGCACTCCATCAGTGCCACGTCTGCGAAGTGCAGGTCGCACAGGATCTGGTTCTGAAAGAAAAATTATTCAAATGAATTTGTTTCTGTTATTCAAATTTTTATTCAACTAGTGGGGTGCACGGCATTGTGCCTTAAGGCAAATTGCGGGAACTTCCCGTACCGTAATTAAAAATCTTGGTACGAAACCCAAAAAAATTACACAAAATGTGTACACATTATTAAAATCTTTATAAAATATCTGATAATTTGATGTACATATGTCCAATAAACATAACCTCTAAATGTTATTTTTTTAAATTATTTTTATTGAGATTTCACAACAGCTGGACCTGCCTTCCCAAAAAACAGTTTTTCATCTTGTCAATACAAGTAAAATGTTTTTTGAATTATTCATTAAACGGTGTTTCCGAAATTGTCGACGAAAATTTGTATCCGCACACACACATCATCAATTTTTTCTAAGGTATGCCAAAATGTTCAGAAAATTCTGAAACGTAAAGATATATAAAAAATTTCATTTTCGATTTATTGCGGTTACTATATAGCTTACCTACGTAAAGTTATAAGTTAAAAAATAACTTATTTGTAATAAAATGTTGATAATGTTTCTTGAATATATGTGATTTATATTAATTAAATATTAATAAATGTTTCGATAAATTTTAACGATTCAGGGGCCGATTATGTCCTAAACTAGACCAATGTTATGGCAAAACTATGTTACTTAGCAGTTTTCATATTGAATGTCCATAATGGTACGTTTTTGCTGTGGGATCAGGAGTTTTACACATAAAATCTAACTTCATGTATGTTTTATTATACCACATCACAAAAATGCACTTATGATAGGATTGTGCGTTCGGTATTTGTCTGTTTTCTAGGTTAGGTTTACTATTTAGGCCTAATTGCACAGCAAACACGTAGCATATTGACAGTTTTTAGTACCATATCATATGAAAAACGTTACGTAACATAGTCTTGTCATAACATTAAATAGGCCTCTCAATTTTGAAGATGCAGATGACTTTGCTATAAGGACATACACGAAATTGTGCCGGAAATATTTTTTTCGTTGTTGATTTTTTTGCTGTTATGTTAAGCAATATTATTTATTTTAAGATGCCTGAATATAGTTTTCGAGTGTACATTATGTAACCAGCTAACTAAAGTTGACAAATACGCTCACATTCAAGTCAAAAAAAAATCTATGTATTGAAGAGTATATTCGCCATGCGAATAAAACAATCATTTGCCATTTAGATTGCAATTTTTGGAATGAAAAAAATATATTTTGTGATGTCAAGTTATTTAAAATAATTTGAGGTAATGATTGTATAAAATAAGTAATGTTAAGTGGCATTTTACTTTAAAGCAAGTTGCATGCTCTTCCCAAATTGTGATTATTTTCACAATTTATTCAATAAAAATTAAGTTTTTCCTATTTAAGGAGTATTTTCTATAGCTAATTTTAAAAACAGATTTTTCTTTTGATCTTTTCAAAGCTTTTCATACTTCTTTAGATTCAAATGTATAATATTTTACTAAGTCTAATCAGTTTTTAGTTTAACACGTTTGCAATGTATGCTCATGTTAACGAAGTTGTTAAATGTAATAATAAGATTTTAAAATTTCGTAAAACAAACCCACATCATTTATCTACTATCTTAGCAGTGCAACTCATATTAAATATATTTGTCATGTTCATGGTCAATTCGAACACTTAAAACTAAAATCATCTCAGTTAAATGATTAATAGGTACCTACATGATCTATATTAGTACATTTTAAGTTTATAAGGTTTTTAAAGATAAATTCAATGTATTTTTCGATTTTATGAAACTTCTCTATAAAATGCCATATTTAATTAGATTGAAAATGACAAACTGAACTGACGTGCAAACAAATATGAAAGCTGATAAAATGTGGATATATGAAACAAAACTGCTCACGAGTTTTGTTTCATTTAACAAAACTCGTGAGCTAGTATTTTTTTACTTAAAAATATCAAATATTATGCATCAATTACGATTCTGATACATGCAAATGCAAATTAATCTAGTTTATCAACTGTCCAAAAACTATCAAATTATTATTTGCAATATATTCTTTTCAATAGTTCCTATAGCATTTACATGATTATTTTATTTGAAGATTTTGTTTCCTAAACTATACCCAGGTTTACTAATTACTCATGAAATTTGATGCCAAATTATCTTCCTAATGGTATTTATATAAAGAAACTAAAAACGATCGTTTAAATAAAATATGAGCATTTGGATTTTAATAAAAAATCACAAAGGTTTGAATTATATCCACACATTTTTATCATTTAACATTTAATAAATTTCAAGCTATGTATCAATACATTTGCTATCTTAAAATATGTTTAGGTTCTCAAAATTTATATTAAAGAATATCAGATCTTATGAAGAATTATAAATTAAGATAATTGACATATTTAAAATAGCCTATACAAAAAATATGATTATCATAATTTTCATTGAGTTCATAAGAATTTTAAATATAAACTCGTAATACTTGTAGAAGGTTTGCCATATTTAGATTCATTTTCACAAAAAATATAATATCATTTTCATCGAACTTATGTGTACTTTATCATATTTTAAGTTCCGTACTAGCTGGTTTTACATCGAATTTATCAAAAATTAAGATAATTATCTGGATGTTAACTTTATCAAAATTACAAATACGTTTTGACAAAATCATGTAAATGACATGATCCTAACTTACCCCAAATAGCAAAACGACCTAACCAAAATGTATCAAAAAGATTTTATGTCTTTGCTTTTTTATCTTACATTTAGTGTAAATGAGAAATAAGATGAAAGATGATTTTTTCAAAGGTGAAGCTATTAATTTGTTTAATATTTTTATTGTATTCATTATTGGTTCAGTATAAATTTTACCTTGAACCTCCTGGCGCGCTTCTGGTTCAAGCCCGTCAGGTTCACCGCGCAGGAGTTGCACCGCAAACATTCCTCGTGGTAATGGTTGTTGTCGTACAAGGCCGACGGCTCTGAAATAGAAAAAAAAAATTACAATAGATTAATATGCAATTCACATGAAATGAAAATCGAATATGTACACAACAAGACAAATCCATATGAATATTGGAAACAAAATAAAATGGTGTTCTTTTGATACAAAAACTAAACGAACAGGGTTCAAATTTAATGAGTCCCACTATTGATATTGTGAATTCTTAAAATTATGTTTTTTTGTATGTGAGTTTTTGTAGTTTGTAATGCTGTGAGATAACACATAATTAGTTTCGAAACGTTCAAAAATCTAATAGTATAAATAATTTCAATTTATCTTTTATTATTTTATTAAAAAATTGCCTTAGTTGTTTAACATATTTTCTAAAATATGCATTCCTTCAATTATGATACATCAAGTGTAGAAGTGAAAATTGATTTATAATTTTTAAAACAATTGGGTTAGTAATTATATTAAATAACTTTCAACGGCGAATAAATAATCAAGTTGAAATAGTTTCAAAACTGTATAAAATATAGCGTTTAAAAAATGTGTAACCATAGATTTTAGGAATCTTTTGTTTAATGCTTTTCCATTTTAATTTAAAACGTAAAATTATTTATGTATAAAAATAAACTAAATGTTTATAGTACAATAACATTATTTTTAAACTTCTAAAAGAGAAGTTTATGTTTTCATCAAAAAATCCGATTCGCTAATTTTATGTTTTCTCGACGTTTCAAGCCATTCTGAATCGAATTAGACCAAATTTAAAAAAAGTATGTGTGTGTGTGTGGGCGGGTGTGTGGGATTTCTTGTCGTAAATCGACGATTTCCCAAAAACAGCTGCACCAATTTTATAAATTTAAAAGCCATTCGATGTATCTCGACGAGAACTAGGGTTTCTCAATTTTGTGCGACGATCGGCCAAACCGTTTCCTCGTAAATAGCAGAAAAGTGAAAAATTTTCTTCTACATTTTACCCAGCAATTCTGAGTCGATTTTGAAAATTCGAAAATCGTTCGAAAGATATTGGTTGGGAATCGTGCTGATTAGTTTTTGGTAAAGATCGGCCAGGCCGTTTTCTTGTAATGAAGTGTTAAAGAAATTTTTTGCCGATTTTAATGATTTTTTTTGCCGGTAGATACCATAGTTTTATAGATCATACTAAATTATTACGGCCCTACGACAAGTCGTTTAATTTTAAAAATTTGTCAAAGTATGCAAAAATTAGTATCGATTTTTGGCGTTTGGCAAAATTAGACATTTTATCGACGTTTGTTTAAAAACGCCTGAACCGATTTCAGAAATTTAAAAACCATTCGATGTATTTCGATGATGATTATCCTTTCTCAATTTGGTGCGACAATCGGCCAAGCCGTTTCTTTGTAATATGGAGAAAAGTGTTGAACTATTCGTTCACATTTAAGCTCATACTACCGAATTTATTTTAAAAAATCAAAACCAGTCCGAATGATATTAGTTGGGAATGATGCTTATAAATTTTAGGTGAAAATCTACCGTGCCCTTTTTTGTAATTAAGTGTCGAAACAAAAAATTAAGCCGATTTCCATAGAACTTTTTTTGACGATATATATCATTATAGAACGACAAGTAGTTTAATTTTAAAAATTCATCAAAGTTTGAAAAAATGAGTAGTTTTTTTGACGTTTGTTAAAATACGATTTACTTGGTATAACGATAGAGTACTTGGTCTTAATGAATATACTAAATCAATAAAGTCCTTGGAAACTGGTTCAATTATAAAAATTATTGATTTGTGGAAATTTGCTTTTTGAAAATACTCCGAGTTAACGTCTTCCTTCGTTTGCAATTATGTATAGTAAATCCACTCGGAATACTTTTAATCTCTCATAAATTAATTAATTTTTTATTGATTAAGTCGATTATTTACACATATCGAGAAGTTCATATAACTTGCCTCAAGGCAAAATACCAATACCAACTAGTGCATATTACAAACCATAGAATTAATAGTACATATAAGTTGCCACCTCAGATAATTCAATATAATAGTACTATCATCATACAAATCTACAATTATTAATAAGTATCCTTTACTTGATGATGATTTGAGTTCCTGAATGTATTTTTTTTATTATTATTACAGTGTAATTTGTATTTGGTCAATGTGTTTTTACTACAAAAATATTCAAGTACCATATAAAAGTATCGCCTTCCAATTATCGAATTTAATATTCAGTTCCAGTTAATTTTCATCCTTGAACAGTAATTTCCGTATTGATTTTCACTCTACAATATTTTTAGGCACTTTTGTCCCGTACCTCTCATTTAATGTTATTAGTGTTTCCTCGTTCTATTTAGAGATCTCTGAATCCACTTCATTCTGATTGTGTACAGTTATTTCAATTAAGTCTTCGATACTTCAACAGTCGATTTTTATTCCCTTTTTCGAATTCAAATGGAAAAAATAATTGTTCGAGTGTAGGTGCTTCTGCAATTATGCGCGGAAAATATACATTGAGAGGAAAAATGGTAAAGGTGATTCCTGACGAATGAAATTGAATTGAATATGAAAGATTTGAAATTTTCTTGTTATTTGATATTATATGTAAAGATGCACAATTGATGATAAAAGATAGATCGTAATAAATAAACTAGTTAAAAGTGGCATTTAGCCTTAAGGCAAGTTGCACGAACTTTCCGAAATGTGTAAGAATTGATTTAATCAACCGAATTTGAAATTTAGGTATTTAGATAAAATTTTCAACAGTTCATTTCAATAATAACGTTATAGCTTTCAATTAAATTTAAACATTGAGATTTCCAATTGAATTTTGTCAAACACCTTTAAATTGACTATAATTATATTGCACAGACACGTGCTTCTAAAATTGTAGTTTATTATTCCAAATTTTAATGAATTGATAATGTTTGACTTATCACATCGCAAAAGCAACTTTTTCTTTGGATGAATTTTTAATAGGACATGTCCAAATGTTTTTCGAATTAATGTCTTATTTGCATGAAACTACATTAAATATATTTAACCGAGAAGTTTTCTGCATACAGTAAATTTTCAAGTTAAATGACCTAAAACTATTTTTTAATCATATTTTATATTAACAATTTAATTGCGTAAATTTTAAATACGCTGTGAATAAAAACACTGAAAATCATGTAAACCTCTAATTGATAATATTACTTATAATATATTTTATAGTTATACTTATTTGTCTTGATTATATATAGTGGAACGATCTGGAAATTTTATATATTTTGGTATGAATTTTCAAAATTAAACTACTTTTGCCGTAGGTCCGTAAGATCTTAGTATGATCTTGAAGACCATGATATATATCAAAATAGAAAATTTCATCGAAATTTTTTTTTCAACAATTAATTACGAAGAAACGGCTTGATCGATCCTTGTCCAAAATTAATCAGCACGACTCCGAAATAATATTTTTCGGATAGTTTTTGAATTTTTAAATCTATTGAGAATGTTCGGCTACAACGCAGACAATTTTTTTCTACTTTTCGCTATTTACAAAGAAAACGCTCGGCCGATCTTTGCGCAAAACTAACAAACGCAAGTCTTTATCGAGTTACATCAAACGGCTTTTAAAAGTTTAAAACTGGCCCAGCCGTTTTTGAAAAAAGTTCGTCAAAACATTAAATATCTGTTCACACACACATACTTTTTCCAAATTTTGTCTTATTCGATTAAAATAATATAAGATACAGTCAACAGTATATATTTGGCAGATGAAATTATATAATTCAGTTTAATAAGTAACGCAATAAGTTCAAAATTCAGAATCAATTTTAAAAATTCAAAAACTATTTGTAAGAAATTATTTGGGAATTGTGTTGATTAATTTGGAAAAAATCGATGTCTGAACATTCTTGGCATACTTTGGAAAAAGTAGATGTGTAGACGATTACGTGAACATGTATCAACCGATTTGAATATTTCAAAAAGAGATTTGATTTGTATTGGCTGAGGATGTGCTGATTAGTTTTTGGCAAAGGCAGGTCTAGCTGTTTCGAAGATACGGAGAAAAAAGTGCAAGAAATAGCAGTTTTTGAGAGAACTGAGTATCCGAATAATGATTCAAAATGCATGATTAGGCTTTTGGGAAAGGCAATTTCAAATTTTCAAAAATTATCAAAATTTTCAAAAATTGTCAAAATTTTCAAAACAAAACTACTTTTCCTAATTCATATATTTTATTTTTCTCAAATATCAAAAATGATTTAGATTTTAATATTATAAAATAGTTTTAGATTTCAAAAATTTTAAAACACACTTATATACTTGAAATAAATAATTTTAACTTTGCAACTCAGTTAATATTATATTTAGAAATTTGAGAAAGTTCTATAATGCATTATAAAATATAAAGATAAAGAGCCTTATCTTTATTCTTCTTTGACTAGATTAGGTTTTGTTTATGTACTTTTCTTGTAACATATTTAAATAATATATAAATTTGAAAGTTCTTATATTTTATATACAAAACACAAATAATAAATGTTACAGTATTTGTAATAAAATATTTGATAAACAATTGTTAATAATTGGTAACCAATTTTTGTTGATTATTGATAATTTTTAAATTAAAAATTAAATTACTTGAATGTTTAATTACGGTACGGGCAGTTCCAGCAATTTGCTTTATGGCACAATGATGTTGCTATTGAATAGTATTATCATATAAGTATAAAAACAATTGTTTTTTATTTAAGTACGTTTAATTTTCAGAGAACCAGAAACTGATCAAGCTGAATCATTTGTATTACAAATATTCAATTATAATCTTCCCGAAGATATTTGATTTCACCAGAATATCCAACTTTCTAATTTTATGTATATTGGAGGCATTCGAGGTTTACAGCCATTCTAAATCATTTAAGACTAAAATTAAAAACTTGTAAAAAACTCGATTTTTATCCTTTTGGCTAAAATAATAGGATTCTTGGTATTAAAAGTATGGTTTTAACTAATGATATGTTCCGAAAACATGGTCTTACATTGATTTGGATTTTTTA